AAGCTCTGTGCACCTGTCAGATGCTTAAAATTTCGGGACAGTGCAAACAGTTCATGCTGTGAACCATAACCTGATTAATAGGCCCATTAACAACGCATTGGATTGTTTTTGGAAGGGATCAATCTGAGTAATATGATAATTAACAATTAGCTATTCTGTTGTTCCTATTCATTTTCCAAGCCATAATGGTGTGAGCAGTAAATGGAAGCACTTTGGAGTGAGTTGTTTAGCTGTTGACTGGACTGTATCTGGCACTATTCACTCCAGCACTGATGTGGATAACTACTCAAGCAATGAGAATTTGGGCCAGAAACACGAGTATGGCAGTTTGGCTCACTGTGACTCTAACACAGGAAAGAAAATGGGATAATCTGACTTATGTATTTAAACTTTTGCAGGGCTTTCAGGGCAAAATTTAAAATTTTTCAGGGATTGTGTTCCTGTGTAAGGAAAGCAATCCATTTATTCCAATGTTCTGCTTTTTTTTTTTTTTTTTTGCAGGCTCACAATAGTGATTTTCCCCTCTGTGTCCTCAATAAAGAAAGTAAAGAAGAATGAGAGGTAGGTATTGTCTTTTGTGGCAGCAGCAGAAGTTAATTACACTTTTAAAACTCCTTTATATCAATGAATCCAAGCTACTTAAGGCAAAATGAAGCCTCCTTTAAAGCAAGGTCACCACCCGAAATGAACTATATCAAGAGCATATTTCCTCACCCAACAAAGTGCCCCTTAAAATTAGAATCATGTCAGCCCTTTGTACATTAATATAGATTTTCCCTATATTTTTGTTCCCTGCAAAACCAGCATGTAAACATGTGAGCATGGATTCTGTGCTTTTGCATCCCCGATAGGGTGAATTACTCCAAGCAAGATTTTCACTGTAGTGTCTTTATATGGTTTGCAGGCTGAGAACTCAATGTAGTTCTTGAATCCCAAGCTGACAGGGATCCAGTGGTGTGGCTGGGGGCCTGGTGGGACAAGCAGCCTGGATTCCTGTGGCACAGTCAGGACAGAAGCCCAGACTGCCATTTGAGACTCATTTTTACACATTTACACTTCATCAGATCTAATACCTTGTGTATCAAAACCTCACTTAAAACATAATTTCCTTTCATTCCCCATCCTATCCACCTGCTTTGATATAGCCAGCACTAAAATATTTCCGTGATATAAGCAAGGATGTGTTCATTGTCAGCACTAATGCATTTAATATTTCCCAGGAACGAACTCATTAAATGAGAAGCCGATCCCACGAGCTTCCCAAACCACAACAATCGGGAACAGTAGCTCACGACTCCCACCAAGGGGCACTGTGTCACTAAATGTCCCTCACCACCTATTCTACACTAAAAAAAAAAAGTTACTGTGCAAGTCATCTATTTAGCATGAAACTTGGAACCACATACACATCTTTTGTCACTTTTAGATGAAGGTAATCACTTTTATTAACGTGTTTCTGCTTATTTTATTCCTCAGTCAACATCTTGTTAGGTGTAGGATTCACAAATTGACTAAATGAAGATATGCTTTTGAAAAATGAGGTGGAATTTACTTATTCACAAATGCTTGGGTATTTCAGAGGAAAATAGAGATGTACATCCAAAGGATGAAATATATAAAGGATTTACTGTCCAGAAACTGGGGGGGACACTGGAAGGTGTTTGGAGACAGGATTCAATTTAAAGTTTAGGTGTGATATGCAGGGGAGTAACAAATCCTTTGCATGCTAAACAAAAACCAAATGAGGAGATGTTCAGCAGATCCTGCTTTAGGGAGTCTGAAAACAAGGGTCAGGACAAACCTGAACCAGTGTGTTATCATGAAAAGAATTCCCGTGGAGATGATGGTCTTTTCCAAGGCTAAGAAGTGAAAAAGAAAAACTTTGGTCATCCAAATGAGAGATTTTCCAAGAAGGCAGAAAAATGAAAGGAAGGCATTTTTAATAACAGTCAGTGGGCAAACAAAATGCTTGGTGACTGCTGAAACTTGGCCAATGTGTAGACGGTTTTTCCAAATTAGAGGACAAATTCAAGGAGAGCAACCCCATCAACCTTAACAAACCTTCAGGTGGAACAAGGTCGTCAGCAGGAGCACACCAGTACAGAGCTGGTGTGGAGCTGAACTCTTATCTCCCAGTTCTTACCTTCTATTACCTCCAGGGTTGTGTGCAGTGCAATCACATCCAAGCTACCCTCCTTTATAGCAGCTCTTTGTTCCAGATAAAAATTGTCATGAGAACTTAGAATGAATCATGGAATGGTTTGGGTTGGAAGGGACCTTAAAGCTCATCTTGTTCCACCCCCCTGCCATGGGCAGGGACACCTTCCACTAGCCCAGGTTGCCCCAAGCCCCGTCCAGCCTGGCCTTGGACACTTCCAGGGATGGGGCAGCCACAGCTTCTCTGGGCAACCTGTGCCAGGGCCTCCCCACCCTCACAGGGAAGAATTTCCTCTTAAAATTTCAGAAGTTTCTGGAGAACGTGGTTCTCTTATTTTTACACTACAATTTCCTCCTTTCTTTGTGATGTTTCCTGGCTGGTTTTCCTGTATTTTTGTAAAGATATTTGTAAGAAAACACTGTAGAAGGACCTACTTCTCTGTGTGTCTTATTTAAGGAATTGGAGAATCTGAGGTTTACTCTGAAGAATAAATGAGTATTTTAAACCAACCAGAGTTAAAAACATTAGTTCAACACAGTTCAGCTGCAGTGGTTAAACTGTAGTAGTTAAACTCCAGCAGTTAAACACAGCAGAATTCAAGGGCACTTGCCCACACATCAGCTGGGAAAGGAACTATGACTTTATTTCTTCAAGCATTTGAAATATTTTAATCTTTCTAACCATTTTGCTTTTGAAACAAGGAAGATGCAAGAAGTCAAATGACTGTCCTCTTACCTCTGTTGGTCTGAGCAGCCAACCAGTGTCCTGCAGGTTGTTTAGGTCTCGACAACGAGGGGACCAGGCAGCTGTGAAATCCTTTGCAAAGGCATAATGCAGAAGCAATGTTTGACAGTAACTTCTAACATATCTCCTTTCCCTACTCTGTTTTTGCTATGATGTGCAACTCTACTACCAGGAGCCACCCAGCCATCCCCAAGATTTCTTTGCTGCCTTGTCTGAGCATTTTTCCACATATTTAACTTGGGATAGGAAAAAAGGCCATGTCTTGGATGGATATAATTTCTTCTCCAAAGGTCATTATGGTTCATTTCCTTGTGCCTGTAACTCTGTGGTGTGGTCACAGCTGAGGTGACAACTGGGCAGAGTGGAGGGGTTGCAGAAGGAAGTGGCTCTCTCAGCTTTTTCAGTAGTCAAAATTTGGTCAGGCCTGGGCCTGAAAGACTGGTTGGGTGAGGAAGCAGAAGACTGTGGCTGCTCTATAAAAAAGAAAACTTTTTATGAGATCTTCTTTTTCTTTCTCTCCTCTCTATTTTCAGCATTATGGGAGGCTTAGTCTGGATTTCTGACACCCTCACAATTTAGGATGCCCAGATGAGGAGTTTCCATCCATTGTACCAGGAAACTTCCATACTCTGCACTCAGGAAGTACTTTCATGGTTTCAGGGTTACAGCAACCCTTGCAGAGCTGTTTCTGAGCTGTGTTCTGATCCACACTGCAGAAGTACCATCACAAACCAGTTTAAGGGGTTGCTGTTAATGAGATTAAGGCACACTAAGTGGGTGGCTGTTCCACTGATTTTTGTTCAGCTGTTTCTATTTACAGGAATACATGAAAGGGAATGCTGATTTTGTTGCTGTTGTTTATTTTGTAGCTCCCTGTACTACGTAAACTCAAAGGAGTGAGAATATGCTGTATACTTTTCTCATGCTCAGCTCTATCCAAATCCCAGACATTTAGAAGAAAACCTCAAAGACAGCAGGGGGAAATCTAATGTTTCTCAGCTCTTTCCTCATCTCACACGCTCAGAGACATAACCTGATGCGAATTTGTGACGCAGGTTAATTCAGGAGCTCTTACTCATCAGGATTTGTCATTGCAGCTCAGTTGCTCTATGACTCTTCAGGAAGGCTATAATTTCTTTTTCATTGCAAATGGATTGCCTGGGATAAATACCTGCCTCTTATTTTGTAGGCAGAGAAGGTCAATAACAGCCTTTATAGGATCTCTCCATAAAAGGCGACGATAAATAACAGTTTAACCTCTAATCTATATTAACAGACTGCCTTTATTTATTGTTTGAGTTGTGTGAAGACAAAGACAGGTAATCCAAAAGGAGCAGCTAATGACCTTCTTTTACAAGAGTGTAGATACCAGTGGGCAAAAACCATTTCAGCTTCAGCATCAAGCACGGGGCTATTTTGCAAAGAAACACTGCGTGTTAGTTGTTGAAACTTTTTCCTGCATTCCCCGAAACAAATGACACTCTTCCGAATATTTTAAATAAAGTCTTTCGTGTTGACAATGCTAATATTATATTTTAAAATAGATTTGCCTTTGTGTTTTTCTGTCCTTTTTTTATTGCATTTTATAAATCCCAGAGCAGAGATCCACCAAGCTCACTCTGAGAAAGCCCTGGGATTTCTTGGGATAGCATCAGGCACTGCCACAGGTGATCATATGGCATTTCAATATTGTTTTCCTGGCTGAATCGGTGGGGAAGTGATTTCAATCAGAATTGTGGGTCTGAGTTTGGAGTACCGGTCAGGAAGGTTAATTTTAAGGGGTTTTAAAAGTAGAATTATTTCGTGCAAATAATTTTCATGGGTAGATATTCCTAATGCAACGTAATCTTAAATTATTTTAATATAATTATGCATTAAATCCAGATAATCATGGGAAAGATGGGAAGGGGGGGGCAAGAAAATAACTTTATTAGTACTTGTAATTCTGGGATTTAGCCACTCTGGCATTTGGGGGACAGATTAGGAAATTGCTAACAAACATTATTTTTAAGGAATAGTTATGCACGTTTTGTGTTCTATCTAATAAATATTTCCTAATGCATGAAGATACGTATGTAATGAAGTTGTTTTTACTTACTTTTATATTTTAGCAAAGCACAAGACAGGGAGCTGGAAAATGCTCTTCAACCTTAAGTCACGTACCTAGAAATAAGAAGTTAATTTTTATTTACAGAAGTACTGATCCACATCTGCTCATTATTTAATTTGTAAATTAAATAACGTTATTTAATTTGTTCTTGAAATCCGTCCTCTTGTTTAAAAATACCTTCAAAGCTCATTCTATTTATTTTTTAGTCTCGTTTTTCACTGAGTGAAAGAGTCAGTTTCTAGATGATCTTTAAAGATTTTTTTTTCTTCCTATTCCTACTTTATGAAGCCTATTTGTGACATTAAATAGCAGAAGTCTCTCACAAACACAGTGGCACTTGCAGAAGGTGTATTAGAGTTGTAATAATGGGAGAGGTGTTTCCTGAGGGTAGAGAACAGAAGTTCTAGCAGAGTTTGTCTCACTTGAACGTAGGAAATCTGAAAAGGAAGCCACAACAGTGCCGGGAGTGGAAGATTTTAATTTTCTTTTCAGCTACTGAAGGATTTTGATCTGTGAATGTACAGATGGTGTTTTTCAGGTTTACTCTGATTAACGAGAAATTATGACCCATCTCGGCGCTGTGGGAAATGTCAGTGGTGCTTTTTGAAAAGGAGGCCCTGGAAGCACATTGGCCTTCCAAACCAGAGTCACCCAAAATTGCCAGTCTGATTTTCCTCTGCTGTTGGTTCTGCAGCTGAGCTTTCTGATTCTCCCATTTCCATTCTCTGCAGACCCATTCTGATAAACTCTCTTACTTGGAACAATGAGGTCGAGCATAATTCAAATCCTGAATTAACTGCAAATCTGGCAATAGAAAAATTGATTTAATACTATGAGAGGATTTTTCAGTGTAAATATATTGCATTAATGATAAAGTTCAATTAAATGAAAGAAATGGATATTGTAAGGACTGACAAATCCAAGCCACCATTGTATCTGTAAGACTAATGAGATGTGTGCACCATGAGAACCCTGTGGAGATGGAACACTGGTGCCTTTGAGAGCTACATACAACTGCTTTTATGAATATTTTAATTCAGTTTTGAACAAACAGTCAACTGGGAGAACCTTAGGAGAAGACATACGTCCTTCTTGCAATGTTGATTTTAATATTACAAGTATTTGGCTTCGTTGTGGTGGAAATTGTGAAGCCTTTCTACCAACTGGATTTACTGCAAGACTGTTGCACTATTTCTTTGAATTAAAACAGAAGGAGAACAGATTTCAAATCTTAGCAGTAGCCAGATAAGTCCAACCTTAATTGTCATATACATGAAATATCAACATGGAACAACTTCAAGGCTTTGTGGCTGTGTAGACCTTGGTGCCAACATGTGGCTCAGAGTAACACACAGGGGAGTTGGGCTGTGAATCCAGGACAATATTCCACTATTTCTGCTCAGTAATTATTCTTAGTTGCAATGAAAAAAAAAAAAAAGGTGCTGTTATTTTCCTATTCTTTTAATAGGAAAGGGAATAGACAAGGGAATTCCAATAATTGTTTGATGTTTAGAAACATGGAAGACCATTGAGGTGTCTTTTTGTTGCAAGTACATAAATCCCATAAATATGGAAAATGTACCCCTGAGGGAAACAGAAAAAGTGGCATATTTTCATTATGCCAAACAACTTTCTTTACAACTTTTGCCAAAAAAGATTTTGGCAATATAATGCTTTATAAGGCATTTTATAGTAGCTCCTTTTCTTAAATGAACCACTTGTAGCAGTTAGGAAGTAAAGGAATGTGAGGCCAAATGGTTTTTTTTCTGTATTAATCCTTTTGTTTCATTGCTGGTGAAGGGAGGGAACAGCAGGCAGGTTTTAGCTGCTGTGGTTTCATGCATACAGCACACACTTCCATTTGTCACATCGTATGACAGCTAGAAACAAAAATATAATTGCTCAGCATATGCAGAATAGATAACAACAGGTCATGGCTAAACTCTGCTCTCCTCTAAGTCAAAGTCAAGGAGAGCCACTTATTTGGATTTAAGTGCAAATTCAAACCTTTGAATTTAGCTCATCTTTCTTCTAAGTAGTTCTGGCAAATGTATTTTCTTTAGTGGTTCTTCTCAAGCAGAAATAGATCCAGAAATCCAAACTGACTCATGAAGGGAAGGTAAAATTTTGCTTACAACATTTTAAAATTAATTTGAAGATTTCCTGATTATCAGAGAGATTTCCAAAAATACTGAAGAATTCTATTTGGTGATACATAGATATTTATCTGAAACTTTGGTTAAATTTGCAGCCCCTGAGACAGTCAAAGAAAATACTGAAAGGTGTTAAGGATTAGGCAATACGACATTAGACATAACCTTAATTTTCTTTCAAGGTCATTAGAATTTTTATTTTGCCTTTTTTTTATTTTATTTCCTTATATTTTAATGCTTCTTTATTTGAAATTAATTATAATGTTTAACGTATTCAGCATACACTACTGGAAAAGGTCTCTGCTCTCTGTGTCGATGGGGTTCTCTTGTCACACAAGCGATGTTAATAATGCTGAGCCTAAAAACAAATGGTTTCAAAAACTGAATTGGGAATAAATCTGAGTATGTGTTCAGGTTTCCACTTATATGTTACAATATTGGCTAATCAGGCACCAGTGGAGCTTCTACACTACAAGCCATCACCTATTTTGACCTGAGCCATCACACAAAGTATTAATTTCCTTTGCTGCACGACAGAACGGTTGTGCTGTCACACAGAGCTGCTGTGCTCTGCACTAGAAAAAGGTGGGACAGACATTTCAGCAGAAGAACAATTTAAATGTCTGGCTTGCCATTTGGTTCAGCAGCACCTTTGTGCCTCTGGCACGTGAAATATGTTTTTAGCTCTTCAGACAAAAACCGACGTTTGGTTTGGCTGCGAAGGCTCAGCAAGGGAAAGGCACCTTGGAAGGGTCACCCGTGTTAATGCAGAGGAGTCTCAGGCTCACTGGACACAACTGAGCCACAGAAATGAAGACAAAGCAAATGAGAGTGTTTAACCCCTGTGCTGTCTCTGCCAAAACAAGGGATAGGGACACTTCTCCCTGTACAAAACACTCACCCTTTTTTGCTCAGCAACCGGAGCAACTTTTCCAACATGTTGCTGGTTTATTTTCCCAGTCATGCAAGTTCCCAGGGACCCATCGTTGGTCCTCACAGGGTCGTAAGAGCACAGTCTGGCTTCACAGTCCACTGAAAATTAGCCTAAATATCTACAGAATATTTTTAATACTTACAAAGTTTTATAAAAACACCATTAACCAATTCAAGTTACGTCCTTCTGGAAAGCCAGACAAGTGCTCTGACCCAGTTTTACATATTTATTTATCCACTTTCTTTTCCTCCCAATTAAGTGGAATCCACACTGTTCTCCTTTGCTTTTGGAAGCTGCCAAAATATGAAGTGATCTCTGAGAGGACAATGAACATCATGCAGCAAAACCTGAGCAAAGTTCTATCCTATTTCATGGAGTACTAAGTCTAGTAGGTTTTGAACTTCCAAAATTTAAGATACATCTCATAAGAGAACCTATTTAAACATCAAAGGCCAGTTTTGCTGGATTCAGCATATAAATATTATACTCCTTAAAATAACTGAAAGGTATAAATTTTGCACTTATCAATGTAATAATCAGATTTCCTTAAAAACAGATGAACTCCAAATGTCTTTATCATTACCGTGCTGGTATTTTCCATTATTTGCATTTTCTGGCAACCTTTTTGTCCTTCCAGGAGGGAACACTTGTGCTTATTTACACAAAATAAAGACAGCTTCACTTTCTAAGTTCAATATTTTGGGCAAGCAATAATATACCAGTGTGCAGGCCAGTCTTAGCAGGAAATAATCCCAGTGCTGGTCACGATGAGATGACTCGTGGTATCAGCTCATTTGGAGAAGTTTAGTAAACATGTTATCTCCAGCACAGGTCTGAGGTAATGTTTATGAGTTCAGTCTGCCCTGTTTTGCCATTATTGGTGATACTCTTGTTACCAAAACAGCCCCAAAGTCTTTTCTTCATCATAACCTTCAGAAGGTCACGTACAGATGACGTTTCATCATTTGAACCATATGTTTAAAGAGAAATCCCTCATGCTGTCAGAACACTTTCCTGAATTTAAGCCTTTAAATCTTATTTATAATGAAGCTGGAACAACCTGATCCTGCAGAAGGCTTTTAGGTGATAATCTGATCTCTATGTAAGTAGGTTCCATTTTGCCTAAATGGTGAATATGTCAAGTTGTATGATGGATTACCTGTGTCTAAATAATGAATATGTCGAGCTGTGTGGTGGATTATCTATCTGACTGCAAATGCTTACTTACCACTGTGGTTAGATGGCCATCTATATTTGTTAGCATAAGGACCAACACATGTCCTCCAGGGCACCTGAGTTAAGTCTGACTTATAATCACAAAGGGAAAAATTTATGGAGAGTCAGTTAGAAGGAAAGAGTAAAAACCACGTAGTCTGTATAACACATTTTATCAAGGTTCTGAAAGGCATCAGGTTTGTTAGCACTCTTTTACACTCAATACATTTTCTCTTTCAAACAGTGCCTTTAAAGTGCTTAAATTGTAACCACGATCGTGTCACAGACACTTTTCTCCCTTTAATTTCTGGTCTTGTAGACTCAGTTTAACTGAGCTCGGTCTAATCCTGACACCCCCAACACCAGGAGAGATTTGGAGGCTGCAGTGATTCCATCTCCTTTGTGCTGATGGGAGGGTCTCTGCTTATGTGTCACCATCTAGAACTTCATAAGGAATGCTGCTGAGGGCACAGAAAATCAACCCAGCTCCTCAGTTCTCAGCTGAGCTGGGTCAGTGTTTGTAACTGTTTGTAACAATGTTCCTTTAATCCTTTTTCTTCAACTTGTAACTGAATATGCACATCAGAAGGATCTGATGGATAAGGGAGTACAATTTGTAGTTATTTTCAGGGTAAATCAACCCTTCAAATTTTTCAGCACATATAGGTACAGGATATTTATTATATGGAAACCCACAGCTACTGCTCTCACACCTCGGGGTCATAGGGCAAGTTCTCTATTCAAGATCTTC